CGCTCACCTGCATATAGGCGGGGCCAGTTTTGACCCCAGGGCTTTAATTTGAACAAACTTTGTAGACACTTACTAGAAGATGTTTCATGCTTAATATCTAAACTCTAGCTATTTGGGTTTTTTCTAAGTTTTTGCTATACACACATTAGGAAAATCAATGACCCCCTGGGGCGGGGCCAATTTTGACCCCATGGCTTTTATCTGAACAATCTTGGTAGACACCCATTAGAACATGTTTCATGCTAAATATCTTAGCTCTAGCTCTTTGAGTTCTTTAAAAGAAGATTTTTTAAGTTTTTACTATATGCATATAGGGAAAATCAATGACCCCCTGGGGCAGGGCCAATTTTGACCCCAGGGCTTTTATTTGAATGAACTTGGTAGACACACACTAGAAGATGTTTCATGCTCAATATCTTAGCTCTAGCTCTTTGGGTTCTTTAAAAGAAGATATTTAAAGTTTTTTCTTTCGGTTGCCATGGCAACCGGAGTTCTGCATGGAATTAAATTCTTTGAATAATTTTTAAAGGTGACCACCAAAGTAACATTCCTGTGAAGTTTGGATGAAATTGGCTAAGTGGTTTATGAGGAGATGTCATTTAAAGTAAAAGTTAACGGACGGACGCCGGACGAAAAGCAATCACAAAAGCTCACCCTGTCACTTTGTGACACTGGTGAGCTAAAAATTAATTATAATATATAAGTTTTGATCCTTTATTATAAAACAATCCTGTACAATCATTAAACAATTTGATACATTTACACAATTCATTCATTTATATATCACATTTATCAATCAATCAACCTACAATGAGACATTTTGCTTATGAAGCTTTGATTAAACATATAACTAAGTTTCCCTTGCTACTTAGAGCAGATATGTTGAGGCATTTTGAAAAATAACAGGCAAATTCTCCAAGAAGACGAGGCTTTGAACAATGCCTTATATAAATATTATTTAAAAATGGTAAAAAAATAATACTGGGAATTGACATTTTCAACAATTCAGAGTTTTTTGTTTGTTTTTTTTTAAAATCCAATAATGTTCCAAAAAATCATTGACCAATGAACTACATGTCTGTCAATCTGACTGGTTATTAAGAATTATCTATATCGTTAAAATAATCTAAATTCATAATGCATTAGCCAATCAACTATTTCAGATTTTGACTGGTTTCAAAATAAAATGTAACTTAGATTCTTTTAACCCTTTCTACTAAACAAGAGGGCCATGATGGCCCTGAAGACGCTCACCTTTATATAGCTCCCCCCCCACCCCGACAGGGCCAATTTTAACCCAAGGGCTTTTATTTGAACAAACTTGGTAGACACCCATAAGAAGATGTTTCATGCTAAACATCTAAGCTCTAGCTCATTGGGTTTCTTAAAAGCAGATTTTTAAAGTTTTTACTATACACATAAAGTGAATAAATGACACCCCTGGGGCGGGGCCAGTTTTGACCCTAGGGCTTTTATTTGAACAAACTTTATAGACACTTACTAGAAAATGTTTCATGCTTAATATCTTAGCTCTAGCTCTTTGAGTTCTTTAAAAGAAGATTTTTTAAGTTTTTACTATATGCATATAGGGAAAATCAATGACCCCCTTGGGCGGGGCCAATTTTGACCCAAGGGCTTTTATTTGAACAAACTTGGTAGACACCCATTAGAAGATGTTTCATGCTAAATATCTTAGCTCTAGCTCTTTGGGTTCTTTAAAAGAAGATTTTTTAAGTTTTTACTAAATGCATATAGGGAAAATCAATGACCCCCTGGAATTTTGACCCCAGGGCTTTTATTTGAACAAACTTGGTAGACACTCATTAGAAGATGTTTCATACCAAATATCTAAGCTCTAGCTCTTACGGTTTTTTAAAAGAAGATATTTAAAGTTTTTTCTTTCGGTTGCCATGGCAACCAGAGTTCTGCATGGAATTAAATTCTTTGAACAATTTTTAAAGGTGACCACCAAAGGAACATACCTGTGAAGTTTGGATGAAATTGGCTTAGTGGTTTATGAGGAGATGTCATTTAAAGTAAAAGTTTACGGACGAACGACAGACGAAAAGCGATCACAAAAGCTCACCCTGTCACTTTGTGACAGGTGAGCTAAAAACTGCATCATAAAGTAAAATATGAGACAAGTATTTAAGCACCTATAAAATTCTAACATAAATTCAACACAATGAGAGTGCAACTGTTAAAAATTATTTTAAGCTCATGAATGTACTACATGTATAATACATGCAAACTCAACTAACAAAACTGCCCAATTAAGTTCCTTTTAATGCACCATTCAATTGTCACCCCAGCCCATTCCCGGGGCAGTGTGGGTAAAATGTATGGAGTTTTCATATTCCACCCGTCTCAGACTGCCAAATAAATGTAGAGGTTTTGTTTTGGAGCCAAAATAGCAGAGGATGTAACCAACTCACTGAATGGGCTTGAGCTTTTATCATTTGACTGTCCCTATAGACAAAGCTGATACAAGGGCTTAGATAATCCAAAAATCAAAGTAAGACCCTTTGGAAGGAGGCTGAAAAACTAGCAACTGACCAGTGTAATAACATCACTAATCAGTATAAAAATATGATATGGATACATTTGATTGTACTATTAACAGATTTAGCCTTTAGCTGCCTACATGATGGGTATATACCTGTCACATTCATGGTACAGTATATTTTAACTGTCACAATTTAATAATTGTGACAATAATTTCACAGTCTATTTGCCTACCCATCTTTCAGGTTATGAAACAATTTATAAGGTTTATTGACATTTTTTTTCATGGACTTTTTTTCAATGCGTTGGTTCTGTGTTGCTTATAAATCATTTTAATATTATATAGGTAATGGTGTAAAGACATAGATTATCTTTTTTTTTCCATAAATTATTTTTCTTCTTACAAAGTCCTTTGTAAGAACACACACATTAAACAGGTATAGCTCTGGCAAGAGAGTAACTGCTCAAGTATCTTGTACACACTCAACATACTCGTACACATTCAACAAACTTGATATCAAATGTTAATATCTTGACTTAACTATTCACTATGTCAGTCACTTGCAACACATGATATGTCCAAACAATTTTACAATTAAATTCATTACCCTTTACGTTCTCCATATTCCAGTTAAATAGTCGTATTGAAAGGAATTTTATAATGCAGGGAACATTTCTTTGTCTGCACAATTTTACAATTTCATGCCGTTTTGACACCCTTTCAGTCCTATACAATGTATATTCAAAACAACAATGTTGTAAAAGAAATTCTTTTAGCCCTTAAAAGAACTCCACGTAGGTTCAAAGGCTTAAAAAAAAATAAAAAATTGAATTTCTTATATAGATCATCTGGGGCACTTAAAACAGAAAGATGCAAAGGATAATTAAGAAATAAACTCAGAAAAAAAAATTGAAAGTTATATTTTTATGCTATTATTATCCCGATTTCAGTGAAAAGCGTTGTTTTGGTCATTTTCCACCATTGAAATAATTATTCCTGGAAAAACAGAGTTAGTGAATGATCTAAAATTTTGTACACAAGTTACTGGTCTAGACCTACATCAAATGGAACATGAATCTCGAAAAATTATTTCCGGCCCCGTTTTGTCAAAAAACCTCAGTGGAGTCTATTTAAATGTATTTAAATGATAAGCAAGCAGAAGTAAATGCTAAACAGTGTGATGTATGATGTTATACTATTCTTATATAAATGTATAAACTTAACTTACTTATGTTTATGATACATACAAAAAAAGCTTGGAGAATAATTATCGTTTTGTGAGTAAAAACAGCATTTAACATTTTGTAACAAGAGCTGTCACAGGAGACAGCGAAGCTCGACTAATGAAATACTGGACGCAGTAAGGAGGACAAAACTATGAAAGGAAAATCAATTATGTATAATTATGTATTAAGTTATAGTAAAAAAATAATATTTGTTAACATAAATTCCAAGATCAAGGGGAATAATGCTAGAAATAGTCATGCTAGAGTTATGGACCTTGTCACACAACATTTGTGTAATGATAAGAAACATATATTTGAAGTTTGAAGCAGATACCTTAAAAAGAAAAGAAGCTATTATATTTCTTAAAGAAAATCCTAAGTTCAAAGAGAGATAAATCTGTAAATATTGCATCAAGAATTATGAACAATGTCACATAAAATGTAATTGTTGATAAGGAATAAGTATTTGAAATTTGAGGTAGATACCTTTAAAAATAAAAAAAGTTATAATAAAAAATAACATTTTTCTAGTAAAAAAATCTAAGTTTATGGGGAGATAATTCTTGTAATATTGGTGCTAGAGTTATGAACCTTGTCACATAAGATGTGGATGATGATAACGTAAACATATTTGAAGTATGAAGTTGATCCCTTTAGAAATAAATAAATAACAGTAAAAAAAATATTTTTTATGGAAAATTCTAAGTTCAAAGGGAGATAAATCTGAAAATATTGGTGCTAGAGTTATGAACCTTGTCACATAAGATGGGGATGATGATAACGTAAATACATTTGAAGTATGAGGTTGATCCCTTAAGAAATAAAGAAGAAACAGTAAGAAATAGTACTTTTTGAGGAAAATTCTAAGTTCAAGGGGAGATAAATCTGAAACTATTGGTGCTAGATTTATGAACCTTGTCACATAAGATGGGGATGATGATAAGGTACATATATTTGAAGTATGAGGTTGATCCCTTAAGAAATAAGGAAGTAACAGTAAAAAATAGTATTTTTTAAGGAAAATTCTAAGTTCAAGGGGAGATAAATCTGAAAATATTGGTGCTAGAGTTATGAACCTTGTCACACATGATGTGGTTGATGATAAGGAAGATATATTTGAAGTTTGAAGTTGATACCTTAAGAAATGACAAAGTTATAGTGAAAAATATTTTACTGCACCAAAACTTTAATCTAAAATCTGGACGCGGACGCCGACGCCGGGGCGAGTAGGACAGCTCTCCATATACTTCGTATAGTCGAGCTAAAAATTGGAAACATTTGCACTATAAGAACTTAAGTCATGCATAAATTTCCTACATCTTTTTTCCCATTTTTTGTAGATCAAAATACACATTGCCTCTCTGTACCAAAATGCCAATTTGACGAAATCCTGTTCCAAGTTTGCTGATGAAACTAAATTTCCAATCTTCACCAATAGTCAAATAATCTATATAACATGAAGATGTGATCTGCGCTTGAATATACGATATATTATGGGCTAACACACAACTCGCGCATTGAGCATATAATGCCTTCAAATTCACAATAAACAATCCCCTAGTCTGATAAATGCTGACCCTATGGCTTTAGTACACACTGCCGTTGTTGTCATGATGCTATCTTTTAGCATACAATTGTATATAGTCTCTGACTTTACTCTTAAATGATTCCTGAAATGTAGAATAAAATAACTTGCAGTGTATTCATTGAAACAAAATATAAATGAAGGTCACTCAAAAACTGGCTAAGGTCCCTAAAAAACTTTTCATTTCTTCAAACATGTGTTTAGGGTTGGATATCGTTAAGAATGAAACGATACAATACCAATATATGAGAAGCCATATAGTATTATTTTATCGATATAGATACTAAACTGCCTTGACTTGGATTACGAACATTTCGGATCATGGTCATTTCACATTCTTTTTGTGATATTATTGACGTATATAATTGTTGATTTTATTTGTTTTCCTTTGAATTTTTGTACATATTTTTTGCTTTTAATTTTGAAAACACTGTTTAAAAATACCAAAATTGTTTGATACAGTATTTTATCGGTAAATTATGAAATGGTTTTCGGTACGATCTAAGTACTAATTATCAGTATCCAACCCTACATGAGTTTTCAAATTTGAAAGTTTTTTCATCATTTGTAAGTATATACTGATCAATAAGGCCATACAGAGATTTTCCAGCATAGCAGTTAGCAGATGATAGTAAATGTGTTTCGATGAATTAGTTCAGGTAAGCATCAACACAATGATTCACTGACCTACAACAAGGTAGATGGAAATCTTTCTAACTTCCAAAGAATGTTATATCAGTTGGAGGATTCCAACCTACAAAAGTCAGAGGTTGATCATCCTGTGAATAGAGCCCATGACCTTCCAATTACTAGTGGTATAGCTTCACAAAATGAGCCATGCCATAACAAAACCAACATAGTGTGTTTGCAACCGGCATGGATCCAGATCAGCCCAAGCATCTGCGCAGTGTGATCAGGATCCATGCTGTTTGCTTACCGACCCTTTTACAATTAGAGAAACTGATAGTGAACAGCATGAATCCTGATAACACTGCGCGGATGCTCAGGCTGGTCTGGATCCATGCTGGTCGCAACGCACTATGTTGGTTGTCATGGCGTGGCTTAATTATAAAGTCAGCAACCTTATCCACTTGACCAGTAACCTAGAAAATTCTATGATTGTAGTCCAAAATCTAGTGCCGAACCTTTCTGCAAATTTGATACTGATTAAATGTACAACAAAAGCTATCTGTAAGACAATGCACTCAACTATCTATTCTATCAGAAAAAGGGCATAACTCTATAAGGTTACTCAGAGATATGTGACCTGTGCCCATCATGTTAGATAATCACAGAGAACAAGTGTTTGAAGTTTCAATCTATTTTCCTTAGTAGTTTTGGAGATACCACCTTGCACAGAACAAAAAACTGAACCAAAGTGCAACAGCATCAGCAACACCAGGGTGAGTACACTAGCTCTACGTATTCTTCCAATGGTTGAGCTTAAATACAGACAAGGACTGAATCAAAATTATGTGAATAAAATATAGTTTAAAAACTGCTTTGAAAGTCTGTGTGAAGTATTTTTTTTCCTTCACAGAATAATAAAAATATTTAAACAGAACTTACCTTATCTCTTTCATAGTGTTCAGCAGCCTCTACATTTAATGGATCCTCAAAATTAAGTAAATCCTAGAAATAAATATACATATATTAAATGATAATATGACATTATTATGCACAACCAGGTTTCTTTTGTTCATGCACATAATTTTGTTTGCAAAAAAGAAATATCTTAGATACATGTGAACATATTGTTTCTAAATGCATTCACAACTGATGAAATGATAAAATATACATGTATGTGTTAACAGAGAAGAATTCCCAATAAATGCAAGTGTATCAATGTTTAATGCACTCTTAATAATAATCTTCTTTTTTTTTACTTCAAACCACCTGTGGGTTTGAATCCGGACAGGGACTTTGGATTTTTGCATGTGAGGAAGCTATCCAGCTAACTTACAGAACGTCGGTGGTTCTACTCAGGTGCCCGTATGTGCCTGAAATAATGCACGGAAGGGCACCTGAGGTCTTCCTATACCAGTAAAGCTGGAACGTCCCCATATAACCTATACTGTGTTGGTGTGACATAAAACCCAATGAAACAAACAAACAAACTTATGTTTTTATACATTGCACTTATTCAGCTATATTACATTGTGATATAAACTTAAAATTCATTTAAAGAGAATTGGTCAAAAATGAAGGCCTGTAATGCAATAAATAATTATTGATAGCAAATACAGTCAAACTTCATTCGCTCGAACTCGAAGGGCCTGCGCAAATTTGGTGGAGAGTTAGGTAGTTCGAGCCAACCGGGGTTGAACTATTATCATGTATTATAAAATATTTTACATAGGACTCAAGTGTGATTTTCACAATATTTCTGCCAAAGGGACCAGAGATCAGGTGCGAGAGTCAAAACGAGCAGTGTTTGATCAATCTGAGGTAGAACAATACATATTATACAGGAATTTTGCCGAGACTGGGCGATGAATTTGAACAATCGGAGTTCGTTTGAACAAAGTTTAACTGCAGTACTAGGCATATAAACAAACCACAAAAGAATAGTATTAGGATGTTGTTGGTAAGTATCAGATACATGGCCCTATATTAAATATATATTTATTTATCAGGTAATAAAATTTCTACATTGTATATAAAAATATTACTATTCATCATATAAATGTTCATTCCATACCTATAAAAAACTTAATCTACATTTTTTTCAATGAATATATTTTATTAGCATATCAAGATGACACATTTCTATTGATATTTTTTATCAATATTTGAAATACTAATGGAAAATATGAAAATCACTTTAAATAAAAAATATTCATTAAATTCACTGTCTTTAAGAAAACATAATTTTTATATTTCAGGGAAAATAATTGACTGCCACTTACCGAAAATAGTGAATTAAGACCCCAGACAACATCTTTCAACTTTCTAGTTGGGGCCCAACCTGATAGGAAAATAGCACAACATGTTAAAGTTACCAGTTTCTTTTAATGTTTCATTAGATTACAACTTTTTATCCAGGTATTCTAAAAATCAAGAATCCTTGGAAATGATGTGAAAAAAAAGAGTTTATTTTGACTTGAAAATATCCTAATAGAACACCTGATAAATTCACTTTGGAGTTCTAAAATCTTTCCAGACTTTATGTCTTCAGGATATCTGGATGCTGTTGGTTTAATCATATTTATGTAAGCTTGATTGCGAAACAAGTTCTTGCAACTTTTATTAATCACTTTCGAGTCTGCTTTCTGGAACCATGGAAACATGGTCATGACCCGAGTAAGGCTCAAACCCCTTATCTCTGGGTTGAGAGGCAGACTCCTTAACCACTAGGCCACCGCTCCCCTTAGAGGATACAGTTCAAATTTATGACAGGTTGAGATATCCTCTTTTTTTTCTTCAATGCAGCTTTATTTTGGTCAATTTGGTTTTGCCAGACTATCACTCATACACTTGTTTTCACTTGTTTTGGATATGTTTAAGCCACACTTTCAATGTTATTGTCAACTGTCCATTTAAGATGCAGGCAAAGTCATACCAACAGTTACAAGTTTTCAAAGACATGGAAGATATGGGGTTAATTGTTTGAAAATTCTATGTTTATATTGTAACTAAATGTATTTCGCAAATTTTGACAGCCACACATTTACTGTGTTTAAAAAAAAATCATACATACCTAAACTGTCTATAGAGTTCTGTCTTAGAAGACTAAGACAAACTTCTCCATTCTCCCCAATATTTGGATGCCAGATCCGTGTATCACATGTTACATTAGGTGGCTACAATACAGAAAGGATTACATCAATATTATTACAAAGTCTCTTTCCCTGTAGCAAGTATTCCAAAGTTGAAGACTGAACAACTAATAAGCCTGAAAGATGGTGCACTTTGCCATGTGTTTGATGAATGAACTCCTTAAAAACCAAGTCAAAGATTTTCAAATACTTGCTGTTGTTTTTGTTTCTACAACGGGGGTTTTCATGTTCCTTTTTTCTCACTTCTGTAAAGTGACTTAAATCAGAAAAATATATTTACCACCTACCAGTAAGGATATTTAAACTAAGAAATGTTTCATATACACTAAGTATATCTATACTGACTTGACTAAATATGAACAGAGTAACAACATATCAGTACATGCTTGACTGTGAAACAACATTTATAACCCTATATTCATTACACCCGAGTCTGTTTCCTGGGCTTTACCAGTACTGCTGTAGCAAGGTAGCATTCTCAAATATAGTAATCAATTACTAGTATCCTTAAATTATTTTTATATCAGTTTCAAGACAGCTTCATTGTTAACCTATTTTTGGTTAAGGAAAACAGCCTTTATTCAGCTGTAAAATATAGGGGGAAAAATATCACTGACCACTATGTTATATTCTTCGGGAACCTCCACTAAAAATTTAAATTTTCCGCCGCTCCAGAATCCTTCATCCGGGTATATAGTTAAAATAAAAGAATGTAAATTGTTATGATCTTCAAAATTCACTTTACAAGTCTTTGGTAAATTTTCTTCCATTTCTTGTACCTCTGAAAATATACAATATACAATCATATATCCATCTCTTGTACCTTTGAAAATATAAAATATACAATCTTGTATAAAGTAAAATGTGAAATCGTTCATTCTTACTCACTTCATACTATTTCTTTATTAAAAGGGTGTTGAAGCGCATTATTATATGTTTTAACCCCTAACTATTTTTGTAATGTTAATTTCCCATACATGTAGGCAAATGAAAACTTGAAAGTCATGCTAGACTGACAAAAAATCCAGAGTTCTAAATATCACATATATTGTCTTTGTTTAATTTATTTGTTTAATAGGGTTTAATAGGGTTTTTACGTCACACCGACACACTATAGGTCATATGGCGACGTTCCAGCTCTACTGGTGGAGGAAGACCTCAGGTGCCTTTCCTTCCATTATTTCAGGCACAAACAGTCAACTGAGTAGAACCACCACATTCAGAAAGCTAGCTGGATAGCTTCCTCACATGAAAGAATTCAAAGTCCCTGTAGGGATTCGATCCCACAGCGTTGACAGGCAAATGGTTTGAAGTCAACAACCTTAACCACTCGGCCACCGACGCCCCTTGTTTCTTTTATTTAGATGTCTTGCAAGATTTATTCAAATCAATTCATTCAGAGCAAAGATTGTGTGTTATATCTGTCTTTCAGGGTTGCCACTAGAAGATGTCAGATGACTGCAGGCAAAAATGACTGCCTAAAAGCATTTTGGCCACCTCAAAGTTAAGAAATTACTCTCTGTTATATATGACTTATTATTATCATTAATGTGATGCATATTTTCTGTACATGATGTAAGTCATGAAAAAATTAAGATGTACCTTTTACAAGAAGCTTATCTCTAATTGAAATCCTCTTAGGTTCATCGTCCTTCTTAGGTGTAGCACCTGATTTCAACTTCTTTGATAAAGTTATCATAACTCCTGTAATAATGAATATTATTACCAACTTGAAAATAACATAATTTCTGATATATTTTTCTTTCATTTTTTTTTTAAGCCTGTACAATTTTGCTGTCTGGTCATACAAATATTTTTCAGGAAAACCAACTTCTAAATGAAAACTGATGATGCAGATCATAAGCTATTTTTTAATATAAGAATTATTAAGATTGATGCTGTGTGAGTAAAAATGTATTGACTTCCATACACAATACTAAATCCGTACTTACTAAAACTGTACTTAGTAACTTAATCCCAAAACACATAAACAAGTAAAAAATGGGTTTAAGTATATGGTCAATGAGTAACTTCTTGCAAAAAAAGAGACCTAAAAGTTATAATATGGAAGTAGGCAAAGCCTATGTACGGGGATGTCAGATAAAAACATTTTTTGTTTTATAAGCATCATTGGCTATTTCAAATTCAATCGGGACACCTCAATGATTATTCTTAAGTGGAAAAGTTGCCATTGTTTCGTTATCAGAATACCCTGCCCATTAACCGATTTGTTGTTAAGTCACATTAAAATGGACGTGTCTAACTAGAGATAACAGATCCCTTTAAATATACACTTGTAGTTAATACCTTGAAAGTCCAAGCATGGCCGAAGGCCCCGAGAGGGCTGTAGCACTCTTAGATAACATGTATGACCCGTATCAATTCAAATGAAATCAAAAGTAAATGAAAATTTCAAAAAATGTATATCCTATACCTAATGAGCTGTGAAAAAATCCTAAGTTAACTGGGCACCGCCATTTTGAAATCCCTTTCAGCTAAATAGTGACATCAGAGCGCTTTAATGAGCATCTACATAATTCAGATTATTGCAAGCAGATGCATGCTAAATAACACTTCCGGTGAAAGAATTATTATAAATATAAAAAAAAAATTACTTAAACATATCCTGTTTGATAAATTAGCACATTCAAATAATCAAAAATAACGTTAAAACAACAACTGTGATTAGAAATTAACAAGAATGGCGGACGGGATTTTCCAAACGCTGAAGCATGCGCAGTGGTCCCCTTTACGTTCAGAGATTTTCGGAATTCCCAGCGCTCCGATGATAGGTTGAACACCACCAATCTACTTGTTTTGTTTACGGTACAAAATATACCCACTTACATGTAACATGTTATGCTACAATCATAATTCATAAATTCTATCCGCGCCATAGGTAGCACCTAATTTCATAATTATTACCCAGGCAACTGAATGCCCAAACCTTTGATTTTCACATAATTTTTTTTTGGGGGCATAATAAGTGGGGCCTATAAATAACACAGTTTTTACTTTGTTTCACTAAAAGTGAAACATGTTGGGTCCTTGGAAATGCAAGTAACAAGCAGTATACTGTGCTCCTCTTAGTTCACGGTACTTAACACTTTAAAACAGTAAAGAACACAAACAATAAACTTACACTACAAAAACTGTCATAAACTGTATCATTTAGTCATTTTTCTGCTATATGACACAAGGAAACAACAATATATTCAATCAAAATTAGTTTTAATTTGTCAGATGTAAACAGTGTGTCGGCCATTTTGAAAACAGTATGTCATCATTTACCTCGCGGTAATGGTGTTTTATTTCAGTTTTTTCATGTTTCAGTTAAAATTTCTTTAAGTTATTTTGCATAATTTTAAATATTAAAAGTATTTTTACATTGTAACTCAAAATTTATTTTTTCAACAAACAAGAACATTTAGAAAATGATGATTGTTTCAGACGTATGCACAATTTTAATGGACTATTGTTGTTTTTTGCAGAAGTTTGTAAAATGTTGTTCAGTTTTACGTAAAATTCTATAGATTTAAATTATTTTGCACAAAACCTTTGTTGTTAAGGTGTTTGAATAAAATATGTCAATTCTGACCAATTATAACACTGGTCACATGAAAATATGCCATTACCGTGAGATAAATGATGACGCGGAATTAGTGATGTTGAGTATACCAAGAAGAAACTTCGTAAATTTAAATGCACATGTTATCTTTATACAAATTCGAAAACAAACAAAACGTCTAAAACAATAAAATAACAAATCAACAATATATTATGAATGTATCCATTAATTCCCGTTTTATTAACATGGTTAAATTTATGTTCTTATAAAAATAAATAGTTAACTTGTTCACGCAGAATATTTCTTGATCGTGCGTCCAAATTTGATCAAACCATTATATCACCTGTCTTTAATTAGTTTCCACTTACCAAATTAACAATATCTTTCGTTCATATAAAAGAAAATCATTGCTTTTCATAGCATTTTTTTCGAAATACTTTTAACCGGATGCTCAATTTAGAGATGTTTGATTGAAATCCTTATCGGCTCACACTTTCATTGTTCCAAATTTTAATCGAGTAGTTACATTTTCATAACAACTTCTTTCAATTATTTTATTTTACACACTTTAGTTTACATAATATAAATAAAATGTTCTATTATTATTTTTTGTATCATAGTTTGGGGACCTTTCTGTTGAAAATGTGTCAGAGTTAAATCGTATACATATACATGCACAGTGCGGTAACTGGAGTGCAGGTATCAGTTACCCGCACTCCAGATCATGCCCATTGATTGGTTCATTTTTGCTGGGGTTTACATATTGTGACGGCAGAGAAAGGGAAAGCGACAGAAATATCATATTCAGATGTTCGTTCATTGGTTCATTTTTGCCGGGGTTTCATATTGTGACAACAGGGAACGTGTTTTTATGTTTGACTATGATACAAAAGAGAAAGAACACCAAAACACTCGGCAATCTGATTAATACTCGGGGGCTACACCCCCTCGTACAAATCAGATAGCCTCGTGTTTCGGTGCTCTTTCTATTACTTGTGGATGTTCAGTTTGTTTATCTTAAGAATCTTGAATTGTAGGTACAACACGATACTGCAGTAGATCTATAAACTATAATATATATTCGTTTTTAAAGAATTTGCTTTTTTGCAACATTCGAAGTAGAACGTTTTTCTCATCATTTTGGATGCAGTTTTGATGCCAAATATCCTAGAATAGCGTTGCTAGAACGTAAGAGTATATAGAGACGGCGCCTTTTTAATATATTAATGTAAATATGCTTTATTTTACATATTTTATATTCTAGATCTTACATGTAAATACAAATACATGTATGTTTCTATTTGTAGTTGATCTTTAGTCTAAGTGTATATAGTTATGTTTTATTTTTCGAGAACACTAGGATATCTGAAATGTAGGAAGGAGTCAATCCTTGCATAGATTTAAATACTAATAATGCAGTATGATACGTGCATCTATTTTCAAAAGTTAACCAATTTAATTTAAGGAAAAACTGTAAAGATGGCGTCTTAACTTGTTTAGACAACTTTATCTTTGCTGCGCGTTTCTTCAATTCATTCACTTTTTTCAAATTCTATTTTGTTACAAGTACTCCATATAATACGGCAATAATCAAAACAAGGTAAAATATAGGCATTGTAAAACATTGCTTTCATTTCAGCGGATAAAAAGTACGATATACGCTTTAAGAGAGCAATTTGTTTTTGTAATTATTACAGACGTGCTTTATTTGAACATTCCATTTTAAGTTTTCATCTAAGTAAAGACTTAATAATTTCTGTGATTTCGTTTGACTTAGGCATGTACCTTCTACTTTTATATCTAAAGAAGGTTTTGATTTTAATTTATTTTCTGACCCAATTACATGTACCATATACAAGTGGTCTTTTTCGGATTTATTTATCAACATCACATTGCAGGGTTCTCTGAATCTCTTCAATGTTATATTTGATGCATGCATAGTAGTAACGTCAGCATACATGTCTATGTTAGAGTGTGCTGTACTAAATGGCTTACCATTAAGGTAGAAAACGAAGAGTAAAGGGCTTAATATAGAGCCTTGAGGGACCCCTGATTTCACTGTTCCACTATTTGAATGATTATTTCCATATTTGACAAACTGTGTTCTATTTTCAAGATATGATTTGTAGAGTTTTATTGAAATGTTTGAGAAGTTGTAAAATTTGAACTTATGTAAAAATATATTGTGATCTACCAAATCAAATGCTTTCTTTGGGTCTAAAAATACTGTGCCTATCAAACAACCGTCACCTTAATCAATATTCTATGTGTTGTATAAATGGTGTTTGACAGGAGTGATGTTTTTCTGAAACCCGACTGACTTTCATGAATGATATCAGTTTCGTATATATAACTGTGTAATTGTGATGCAAAATGCTTTTCAAATTTTTTTGAGATATGGTTGGCAAAATTGAAAAAGGTCTCTAATTACTTGGATCTTCTTTTGTACTATTTTTATGCTCCCCGAAAAAATTTCGGGGGAGCATATAGTCGCCGCCTTGTCCGTCCGTCCGTCCGTCCGTCTTTCCGTCCGTCCGAGCTCACTGAAATGACGATGTGGGGTGAATATCCATGTTCAATCCGTATAGACGGTACTTGTGAGGAAAAAGGTTGCTTATGGGGTGCAAATACGTTGCTTATGGGGTTTTAGAGATCAAAGGAGATCAAAGAAAAAACCCCATAATGTCAACTCAGTAGGAACTTCCGTCCGTCCGTCCGTCCCCTTTTCTTGTCCGGGACATAACTTTGAAACAACAAGAGGTATCAACATGAAACTTTGTAGGTAGATAGATCTCATTGAGAAGGTGTGCAGTGCACAAGAACCGTAACTCTGCCTTGCCTAATTTTTGAATTACCCCCCTTTGTTTATTTTACACTTTGAACTTTGTCCGGGACATAACTCTAAAAGTAAAAGAGGTATCAACATGAAACTTTGTAGGTAGATAGATCTCATTGAGTAGGTGTGCAGTGCGCAAGAACCGTAACTCTGCCTTGCCTAATTTTTGAATTACCCCCTTTGTTTATTTTACATTTTGAAATTTGTCCGGGACATAACTCTAAAAATATAAGAGGTATTAACATGAAACTTTGTAGGAAGATAGATCTCATTGAGTAGGTGTGCAGTGCACAAGAACCGTAACTCTGCCTTGCCTAATTTGTGAATAATCCCCCTTTGTTTATTTTACTCTTTGAACTTTGTCCGGGACATAACACTAAAAGTATAAGAGGTATCAACATGAAACTTTGTAGGTAGATAGATCTCATTGAGTAGGTGTGCAGTGAACAAGAACCGTAACTCTGCCTTGCCTAATTTTTGAATTACCCCCCTTTGTTTATTTTACACTTTGAAATTTGTCCTGGGCATAACTCTAAAAGTATAAGAGATATCAACATGAAACTTTGTAGGTAGATAGATCTCATTGAGTAGGTGTGCAGTGCACAAGAACTGTCACTCTGCCTTGCCTAATTCTTGAATTATTCCCCTTTGTTTATTTTACACTTTGAACTTTGTCCGGGACATAACTCTAAAAGTATAAGAGGTATGAACATGAAACTTTGTAGGTAGATAGATCTCATTGAGTAGGTGTGCAGTGCACAAGAACCGTAACTCTGCCTTGTCTAATTTTTGAATTATCCCCCTTTGTTTATTTTACACTTTGAACTTGTCCGGGACATAACTCTAAAAGTATAAGAGGTATCAACATGAAACTTTGTAGGTAGATAGATCTCATTGAGTAGGTGTGCAGTGAACAAGAACCGTAACTCTGCCTTGCCTAATTTTTGAATTATCCCCCTTTGTTTATTTTTACACTTTGAACTTTGTCCGGGACATAACTCTTAATGTATAAGAGATATCAACATGAAACTTTGTAGGTAGATAGATCTCATTGAGTAAGTTTGCAGTGCACAAGAACTGTAACACTGTCTTGCCTACTTTTGGAGTTATTGCCCTTTGTTCATTTTGACACTTTGAACTTAACTTTGTCTGGGACATTACTCTAAAATTATAAGAGATATCAGCATGAAACTTTGTAGATAGATAGGTCTCATTGGGTGGAATTGCAGTGCTTAAGAATCATTACTCTGCCTTGCCTTATTTTGAAGAAATTGCCCTTTGTTTATTTTTACTTTTTGACTTTTGTCCTGGACATTACTTTAAAACTATAAGAGATATCAACATGAAACTTTGTAGGTAGCTAGATATAATTGGATAGAACTGCAATGCTTAAAGAACCTAAACAAAGCCTGGTCTAATTTTTGAGTTATTGCCATTTGTTCCTTTTTACACTTTGACTTTTACCCGGGACATAACTCTGATATCATCAGGAAACTTTATAGATAGATAGATCTCATTGAATAGAAGTGCAGTGCAAAAAAACATAACTTCGCTTTGCCTAACTTTGGAGTCTTTGCCCTTTGTTCATTTTTTTATACTTTCCTGTGTCCAGAACCTTCTCGGGGAGCATCACCCGGTTCAACCGGTTCTTGTTGTAAATTGGAAGTACATATGCCTCTTTAAGTTCAGGAAAAATGCCATTTTTTAATGGAATTATTAAAATTATTAATAATAAAAGCTGTAGCCATGCTTAAATAAAACATATGTCTCCATGTTAAAGAAAATAAGCAAGTTCACATTTTTGGATATTTCGTATTGCATCAAAGTGTTTCAGCTGGCATAGCATTCTTTGATTTTTAAACCAAGCATAATATTCTTTAAAATTGATACTTTTAGAAACAGTGTTTACCTTTTTCATCTTTGTTTTGAAAGTGTCGAGGGCTCTTAATTATTTATACAGATCAACAAAACGTGAAAGAGCCATCGTTTGCATTTTGAAAGCAGAAACCAGATTGATAATGAAATCCATCTTTGGCTCAAACAATCAACGAGAATAACTTAGCAGAAGCGTATTCTGTTAGTTACAAGGTAGAAATGCATGTAACATAACAAGAGTTAAAAGGTTTGTGGATATTAATTGATACAATTATCAAATTATTAATATATTGATATAATGTTTAATTTTATTCAATATTAATTTTGATTTCTCATCTGAAGTTATTCTGTTTTTACATTGTTGCTGTAATACTTCTTGTTAAGCCATAGCAAACTTGTACAGCAACATTGGTAATGTATGTTTGTTTTATTTTAGCAGCCTATTCCCTTTTTTATAGTATGTGCCCAAAATTATTAATGGAATTTAGATTTGTTAGGACTCGCAAGTATTCGCATATTGAGGTTACCTTTCGAAATGATTCGTTTGCAGGAGCTAGCCATGTCGCTCATTTTTCAGAATGTTAACCATTCGTTTTTATCCGTTGTCAACCGTATGTGAAATTCCTATTAGAATACCTGCATTATTTGCTACAATTCGCATGCTATTGCGAAAAATCGTTGATTATGTAAATTAGCTTATCATGTTCCGACAGCTTGAAGCCTATTATGCCATGCAAATCGATGAATGATGGTTTATGTTTTGTAACCGTATTGATAGGGACTTTAACTTAAAAGCAGACGAACATAAATTCGCCACATTTTTTTTAACATCCACATCAAGTTCTTCTGTCGTCATCGCCAGTACGCGCAAGACATCGGCATGCAGTGGTTTCCGCCCGCTGAAGTATAAGGGCCATTAATTTTATTACTAGTTATCAAATCACGATAAGTTTATTTATAAATGTACTGTAAGAAGCAAATAGTCAAACGTCAAGCGATCAACTGTTTTGTTATAGATTTATCAGTTTATTTTCAAATTCCACAACCACTTTCTAGCTTATCATGTGCATTCTTACAGTTTTAAAACAAAAGAAAGAAGAGCTATCTCTAGTGACACGATGTATCATTCTTGTATTCTATCTTGGTAGCAGGTGCGCAGTCCACACCTCCAAACATTGGTCCATAACATGATCGCTGTCGGACGCGCTGACCCCCAAAAATATAACAAACCCATGGTGACCATTCAGACCAAAAACCATTTACTACAAAAGGAAGAAAAAAACATATGTAAGTAAAAATATATGAAGAGAAGAAAAAACTCATCTCTACGGTGTGTTGTATTTTGTACCACAAAAGGTATTGCTTTCCATGGGTGGCATTTATACAACATTTTTCATTTAGTTTACGCCCAGAAACCGCTTAAAAATATTGACACTAAATAGGAATCTGTTTTTCAAATGAAATCGAGGAAGATCTGGCATAGATTTTTGCCTATATTTGCCACTTCATCAAATGTTTTGTTATGAACCTTTTGATATAAACTATAAACAAGTAAAAGAGATCTAAAATGGTGTCCTCATGTGCAGCATTTCCTTGCTAAAAACTAATGTACAACTACTTTGGTTAGTTTTTAAGTTACACTAACACTTTGTGAAGGTCATATGGTGAAGGTAGACCTTATAAAATTATCATATCTTTACTAAATAGTTTGCACGAAAATCCTATGCATCGCAGGAAATATCCTGTAAAACGTGAGTCCTATTTTGTCACACCGGACTTGATATAAAAAGATGAAAGGTTCATAACATTCCAAAAGAAGAGACAACAATAATTGTCTAGACACACTTTAACTTTCACAAGACTTACTTGGACAAGGGTGGGAATTAAAACACAATCTGTAATCATTTCCGTCGCCTTGACAACCTTGGCTCAATATAGAAGGTGTTGCTGGGCCCACACATTTCCTTGACCTTCTAGTTAAACCTGTACCACAAGTAGTTGAACATGCTTGCCAATCACTCCACTGTGTCCAATTGCCATTAACTGCAGTTCAAAAAGGCAATAATGTTTACATGGCTAACAATTGATTAATGTAACACATGACTGGTAACTGAATTCATGTCACCAAATTTGAATATAAGCCAATAGAATCTAACACACTAAACTTAGTTGCTAGTTACGTCTATAGAATAATAGGCTTTAAACACATAATTTTATATATATCAAATTAAAAGTCAGTTCGAATATGTGTTATGCGTTACATGTATGCATATAAATCTACTTATCTAAATCTATTTGTCATTGATATTTGGCTTGAAGCCGTATAGTAAAACAATATACTAATATGCGGCTATCAAATTTATATTGACCTTTAATTTATTTATCACTCATTTACACATTCATACTAGTACATATGGACAATAAAGGCAGGATAAATGTCTATATTGTGATATAAGATAAGCATTACTTCGACACGACTCAAGTTTAGTAATCTCGTCTGTACTAAGTTGACACGTCACTCTCTCGTCCAAAATGGCTGATGTAATGGAAATCCCGAGAACAACTGCAGAAACACAAGGTTTTCATTTTAATTTAAAGGTCCTGTAACTCAAATTTGTTCATGATTTTATATCATCAATCTGATGCTCAAATGAAGATTCTTCAAAATTGTAAGTTCAAAAAAACATTATTTGTAAAGATATTACCGAATTTACATTTCATGTAAATAAAGGGAGGTAAGTAGAAATATATTTTCGATAAAGTCTTAACAATTTTTTTCAATGAGAAATGAATGCATTGATTTTAATGATTCCATTGAATATGCACAAATATTTACAGTATATATTTTACAAATTCTTCGATGTTTGAAAATTGTTTTAGAAGCATAATTATATACATTTATAAAATTTCACACAAGTATGGTAACTACCTAAATTACATCAATGATGCATTTAATGGTCTCATTGGCCTCCTGTGCATCAAAATAGTATCATCACAAAATATCGACTTGCATACATATTTAGTATCATTCAGTGAATTACTGAATTCAAAATTTATAGGTCACCTTGTGGTTGATAATAACATTTAAGGACATGAATGGTGACATGTCCGGGGTCCGTACTGTCAGTGCCTGAAAGGGCGGATAGACCCTCATTCAGCCTAGAATACATACATACATTGTTACATCCTTAATTACAACATACAGGATCTTTAAGTGTTGAATTCTGCTTAAGCCCGGTGTTATTGGGAGTGGATGGCAGCTTGCAATTTCCAGTGTCTTACCTTAACAGGCTCAATCAAAGGTAAAATATGATTTATTTTATTTTATTCTTTATTCTCTACTTTATTTCAGCAATATTATATTTAAGATAATTCAAAATAACAATAAGTATAATATAATCCTATTTGAATTTTTGTTAGGTTATAAATTCATCACACCAACAATATTCTTTCATATGACAACATTACAGGTATTTTAGCAAACAGGATATGCCTTCCTGTCATAAGATTTAACGAACTTCTTATCCTGTTATAATATTGAGCTAAATGTTTATCCTGTAATTAGATAATTAGATATATCCTTATTATGTTATGTGGCTGTAAAAAAAATAACTACACGGAAAAAAAACTAAATTTTACCTCATTGTTATATCAACAATATTGTATATTCAACAAAATCTTTAAAGATCCTGTATTTGAATACCACACTTAAGTGAAATTATATACATGATGTATATATATATATATATATATATATATATATATATATATATATATATATATATATATATATATATATATATATATATATATATATATATATATATATATATATATGTATATAATTATGCTAATAAAACAATTTTCAAACATCGAAGAATATGTAAAATATGTACGGCAAATATTTTTACATATTATGTGTAATCATTAAAATATATGCATTCATTTCTTATTGAACAATTTGACTTAGACTTTTTAGAAAATATTTTTTTATTACTGCCCTTTATTTGCATGAAATGTTAAATTCAGTGATATTTTATTTATAAATAATGCTTTTTTGAACTTACACAATTGATAAATCTTAATTTAAGCATCATATTTATGATATAAAACCATAAAGAAAATGTGTTACAGGATCTTTAAGATTTAATTAAATGCTTATTTTATAATCAGATTGAACAAAATGTACATCCTGTTATTATATTTAACTTAATATTTATCCCATGATTGGATTTAACTTAATCTGACCCTGTTATTAGATTTAGCTAAATGCTTATCATTTAATTAGATTTAATAAACTGCTTATTATGTTATTCAAATTACCAAAAGTTTAACCTGTAATTAGATTTAACTAAATCCTGTTACTAGATTTAACTATTTTTATCCTGATACTTGATTTAACAGAATGCTTATCCTGTTACAAGATTTATCTAACTATTTATCCTCAATTAAGATTTAACTAAATGCGTGCCCTGCAATTAGATTTAACTAGATCTTTCCTGTTATTTGAATTTGACTAAATGTATAAAAATATAAATGAAATTGGAAAGAAATGATATTTGCCAATTCGTATATATTACACCGGAAAATGTCAATTACATAACACATTTTCTTTTGAAATTCAACCCATTACAACAAACAAATATTTCATTTACAACAAGTACCGTTCTTATTGTGATATGAAATTACACTAGTTTTAAAAAGTATATTTAAACATTTTTGTTAATAGTTAGTAAGCATAAGAAAGTTACTTACATATTCTTAAAACGACCGAGGCACACATATTTTAAAAAAAGAAAATCTTGACGAATGATTTCTTATCTACAACGAACGTATTTCATTCAATACATTATTTCACTCAATTGTGACCTTTATCTATATATGACTTTAAAATTCTAACATTTTGAAATGTCACTAATATTATCAATTGTTCCTTATTCATTTGAATTGAGTATATTTTACTCTGACTCTGTATAGGTCACATACACGTATATCTTAAGATAAAGAAAACTCAAAAGCGCTATTCAGCCATGAGCGGACATAATCAATGATCATTCGATTTGTTTTGACGCATACCTACTGTAAATGAGAGTATTCCACGGTGCCCTTTGGGGTTTAAGAATAAGTCAGCAAATAGCAAGCAGTGATATTCACAAGGCATCTTTGGTCCGCAAGCACAAATAATGTTTCGAAAGTGCTAGCAAAACAACATTTGTAAATAAGAACCCCACCAAAGCGTTGGTTGCAATGATTGACAGATGGTCAATTACACATTTATACACTAGATAAAACATCTAAGTGCGTCCATGACCGATCAGTTAAATCATCAAACCATTTGTCCCTAACCGCTGTAGGTTGGAATCCTGACAGGGACTTTGGTGGATACTTTCATGCGAGTAAGGTATCCTGCTTGATAACTTCAGGTGGTTCTACCTTAGTACCTGTTCGTGCATGAAATAATGCACCCGAGGTCTTCCTGCAACAGTAAAGATGGAAAATTGCCATATGGCCTATGATGGTGTGAAGTAAAACCCAACAAAAAAAAAAAAAAAAAAAAAAAAAAAAAAAAAAAAGAAAAAAGAAAAAGAAAAACAATAATAAAAACAACAACAACAACAACAACAACAAAAATAAACAGATAAACTCAGATGAATAAGGTTAGTAACGTAGTTTCAGATGTGAATGATACTGTGAACCAATATGACAAGCAAATTAAAACACTAACACTAAAAAACTTGATCTAGAAAGTAGAAATAGAAACAGGAATTTACTTATATACGGATATGAAGAACACAAAATGGATGATTATGACACTGCCAACGATATCTTTTACGATCACCTTTATCTTAATCCGAGCGATTATTATATCGACAATGCAAAACGTTAGGTCAGGTAAAAAACAATCGCCGAGGACAAAAGTCACCTAAGATTACAAAATTGGTAATTTTTCGTTACTCTCATGAAGTTGGTTCAATAAGGGCAAATGCACCAAACCTTGCTGGAATCAGTTATGGCATCGACAGAGATCATCCATATGAGATTGGAACCGCCAGAAAGGCATTGTGGCCCACATATAAGGAGTACCAATCGCAGGTACAAAGTTGTCGTCACAGAGCAGATATACAAATAACTCGCAATCGCAATCGTTATTAAAATCGCCTTTCAAACATTTGTTCAGGCCATCACACCAGTTGTGAACATTGACAGGTAGGCTAAATTAAGTTTTATACAAATTCGATGTCAACAAAAATTCGAAGTCGTTCTTCAAGTGCGCCTGCGCAGAGGGAATTTCCAGCAACTAGTAACACGTCGGCAATCAGCAATCAGTTAGGCAGACGAGGACTCCTCCCACAATTACGCAACATACATCAGCGTCAAATGATCACACAGTTGGCGGGGAATAGGATTTAATTAAACAATTCACGATTTGGATTATTTAATATACAGTGCTTGGAAACCAAATCTATTGATACACTGAAGAGTTCTGAAATAACTGATTTATTCAATAATAATGATATATTGTTCTATGACTAAAACTACGGGACATCAAAGCTAAATGTTTTAAGTTACTGTAGACAATTTTCAACAGTTTGCTTTAGATAGAAAAGAAAAAGGTCTTTTGGTGGTCTAGTTATTTATTTACGTCGTGCCCTTTGTTGAAATGACACATTTGTTTTTGAGAGAGACGATACATATTTGTGGATGAAAATTTGTGGGGAATTATTTAATAGTGATGGTCATTAATTTATTGAGTTGTGTTATATTATCCCATTCACAACTAGCAGGAATCGTTTTGTTGAAACTATTGTATATGATTATTTATTTGATTTTTACAAAGTAAATACATGTATGTGTAGTTTTATGATATAAGGAGACTTAAACTCGAGTTAGGGGTATTAGAATAATGGGTGTAAAATGAAAATTATTCTTTATCAGAAAATAATTCATTACCAGAAGATTATGACATAAATGTTAAACTTCCAAGAAAACTTAAGATAAAAATACTAACAGTAATGGTCTATTATTGATTGACTTTTTGAAACAGACTGGTTACGTATTGCAAACGGTCGGGTGTGTGATGACGAGGGTGCCTTAACTTATATCATCAACATGCTGTAGTGTTGTACATTTTTGTATGTGAGTGAACATTTGTTAAGATTATTTGATAGTTTTAAAACAAACGCATTCATGAGCCAAATACATGTATACTGTCAGATCATTGTATAACAGAATTCTCTTTAAAATCTTTTTATTGGTATGGTAAATGTGAAGACAATGGAAGAAACAAATTTACATGTAATATTAATGATAGTCCTAAGTGATTTTTCTATAAATATGATTTTGACGAAATATATCTTAAAACTCTATTCAAAGTGATGTATTTATAACGCATCTTTTTTAGTGAGAAAGTAAAATTGATAGTGCTACAACACATGTTTAAATTGATGAATGTATAGTTAGTTTTATTCAATATATTGAAAATGTATGTAAACCATTATCCGAAAAATATAGTAACGTTGAAGGTAGTTTTAATAAGTATGGTAATCGAAATTACGACGATGCATTATATAGTAATATATGTGAAAACAATAGAGTAGATTTTTATAAGAAACTTAATGTTTATAGGAAATATAAATCAGAATTTAACAGAATAAATATGGTACAAGCAAGAAATATATACAAAAGGAGCGTCCGAATTTTTCAATATGAGAAAGACAAGATTAGAAAGCTGAAATTAATGTCAGCAGGTTATAGCAATGCCAAATTATTTTGAACAATTTTGAAAGAAAGTAGTTATTAGAAAGGGTCCGAAAGGATTTTCACTTGATTCTTTTACTGATTATTTTAAGCAATTAATAACCTTAATAATAGATTTCTTTTTCATGCAGACGAAGATGGTAAGATTTTACAAATCGTATTTTAGATAACGAGGTAAAAAATAAATTTAATGAACTGGACATACCCTTTACCATGGTTAAATATTACAGGGTATTGTTGACCCGAATTAAGACGGTATTATAAACGAATATTTAGTCTATGGGAAGGATAAATTTAGCTTTACATATTTCAAAATTATTAAGTAAAATTCTTGAAAAAGGTTAACTTCCAGCCTCATGGAGTGAAGGATATATCATTCCTATACATAAAAGGGGTAGCCTAGATCATGTTACAAAAAAGAGGAATAACTCTTTTAGGCGTAGTTGAAAAATTATTTACAAAGTATTATTAACAAACGACTTATTTTACGACTTAAGATTACTTTTACATATGTTGAAGCTCGAGCAAGTTATAGAGCGAAATTAGGAACTGTTGATAATATTTGTGCTCTCAACAGTCTAATTAATCATTTTCATAGTCAAATAAGAAATTATTTTGTGTCTTTGTTGATTTTTCTAGAGCGTTTGACTACTTAGTAAGACCGAATATATGGTATTAATTATTCAATATGTATACGTACCTAAGATTCAGGTGGCTCCTTCAAGGAAACCTGTAACACATTATCAGGACAGGCATAAAAGGCAATTTTTCAGTTATAAATTATATGTCAAGTTTTCTTAGTTTGTCTTCAGAACATGTCTAAAACCTTTTTGATAATCTAATTAAGGCAATCGTATATAAAAATGCTGACGTGTTGGATTTTTACAATGAAAACCAAATTGAAAGGGTGTATAAAATGTTTTCCGAAACCAACATTATGTGTAAAAATAAGCTCACAAAACGATTTTATATATCGCGATCTTGGAAGAACGGACCTACATAGTCTTAGAATTATGTACATTATAAAATATAAGCAGCCATGAAAATAAATAAATAAATAAATAAATTAATAGACTTTAAATGGCATTGAAAGTCAACCTCAAAAGTCAATCTTGGCTTGATGTGATTTAATGAAACTAGGTTTTTATAATGTTTGGCCATGTATGTATGTATGTACGTACGTACGTACGTACGTGTACGTACGTACGTACGTACGTATGTATGTATTCTAGGCTTAATGAGGGTTCATCCGCCCTTTCAGGCACCTAGAGTACGGACCCAGGACATGTCACCATTCATGTCCTTAAATGTTACTATCAACCAAAAGGTGACCTATAAATTTTGAATTCAGTAATTCACTGAATGATACTAAATATGTATGCAAGTCAATTTTATGAATGTTGTTTTTTAAGGATTTTACAGTACTAAGTTAATTTATTAATATATATAATTATTCTTCTAAACGAATTTCAAAACATTCAAGAACATGTTAAATATTTACTGCAAAATTATTTGTAATATTATTATATTAAGAAATCACTAAAATCTATGCGTTCATTTCGCTAAGACGTTAATATCGAAAATAGACTTTTAATCACATCCTAATTACATGAAATGTAAATTTGATATTTTTTTTAACAAATAATGCGAAAACAATAGTGATAAATCTTCATTTGAGCATCAGATTTATGGTATAAAACCACAAAATACTGAGTTACAAGATCGTTAATAAATAAACAGGGTTTTGTTAGTCCAAGGATGGCAAAGTAGGATTGATATCTGAACTAGAGTTACTTTTTATAAGTCTTTAGGCAGTTTTAATTTTCAACCATACTTTAAAATACTTAATGTAACTAAATATAGAAAAATATTATGTAGATTAAAAGTATCCTTACATGGATTAAATATAGGAATAGAACTCTGAGAGAAAATATACTTTGTATATTTTGTAATAAGGAGGAAGATGGATTTCATTTCCTTTTTGAGTGTAGCTTGTATGATTAAATTAGAGATAAATATATAAATAGATACTTCAGCATGTTTAAAACGATAGGACTGTTTTCAACAGAACATGTTAAGGTAATAAGAAATTTACCCGTATATGTATGTAAAGCATTGACATAAGAAGATGTAAATATATTGCCTTTATGTACTACATATTATATAAATTGTATTCGATATTGGTGTAATTTGTTAACCATGCCATCACATAGATATCCAAGGCAATGTTATAACATGTTAAAATCTTTAGATGATGCCGGTAGAAACTGCTGGGCAACCAAAGTTAGAACACTTTTGTATAAATATGGATTCAGTTTTATATGGATAAGTCAAGATGTTGGCGATGTCAATGCCTTTATTACCATGTTTAAAAAAAGAGTTGTTAACTATTGTACACTAGACTGGCAAACAGCTCATGAATCCTCTAGTAGATGCGATCATTATAATAACTTTAAAAGCCTACTTACTGTTGAAAAATATTTAACTATGGATATTCAGTTAAAATATAGAATTGCTATGTCAAAGTTTCGTCTTTCAAATCACAGGCTGAATATTGAATTAGGTAGATATAATAATGTTATAAAAGAAAATCGTATATGTTTCTTTTGCCAACAGTTTAATAATGCTAATGTAATTGATTGTGAGTACCATGCCTTTTTTAATTGTGTTAAATATGATACTGTTAGACAAATGTATTTATTTAGCTGGTATATACATGGAACAGAACTTCAAAATTTCTATGCTCTTTTGTCTTCTCAAAACCCTGACATTGTTTAAAATATATCTATTTACATCTATCAACTTATGAATATAATTAATGATACTTAAGTTTCACAATATACAACTACTTGACATTTTATTATATGTTATACCTAAAGATGTATTTTGGGCCGGAGACCTTTATTTATAAATAAATGATTTGAGTTGAGTTGAGTTGAGTATAGTATTTAGATAGTATATTATGTTACATTGATTTTTTAATACTTACATTGTTTCATAAAGTAATAGCAAATTAGTATACAAGGTTTATAAGAAAATATGTAAAATAATAGGACTGCATATAGTTCGGTTTCGAGTACATAGTGGTTTAACCAAATTCAGTAAGCTTTTGAACGATGGACTGTGGATGGTTGTACTGCGGCGTAATAAAAACTATACATATTCATATTTTCAATCCAACACGCTGACAGAAAGACAACTAATAAGTATGTGTTAAACTTATTTAATAATATTATAACATTTAACTGTTTATTTCATCGTGGCTTTAATTAAAGTCATGGTTTTATTTATGACAGCAAATTGCGTTCAAATCGAATGAGATAATAAAGCATGGAGGACTGCTAGTATTTGTAAATAAGGGATAGTAATAAGTGTATTAGAGGTAAAATATATATGAGTGAGTGCGCGCACGCTCGTGCTTGCTTGTGTATGTACTATCAGGGTAGAAAATTGTTTTATACAAATAATTCCAAAAGTAAGAACATGAATAATTATGTTTAATTTACTTAGTTTATATTTTATATCAATCTTAATAATCATTTAAGATTCAACTAGGAACAAAAACAGATATTTATAAAACAGATACAATTTTAGGAAAACAACTATTCGTTCAATCTAGTCTCAGACACGTTTTTTGTATTATATTTATTTAAAATGCAAGGGAAGTAAGGATGAATAAAATGTATTTAAAACTTGAAAGAGCAGTGTATCCTGTTTTTTGTATCTTACTATTTTTACATATATTTTGATTACTATATTGACAAATTTATTTTGACTAATGCCAATGTTAATTCATATGTTTATATACCAAGATATTATTTTGAGCTAAAATGGCTTTATCAATTGTGTATTGTGATATTTATTAAATAATAAAGCTTTTTCCTCTTCTTTCTGCATACATACACGCACCTAGGCACCACGCACGCACTCACACACGCTCTCTCTCACACACGCACGCACGCACCAATGCACGCACGCACACACACACACACGCACGCACTCACACACACACACACACACACACACAATAAAATTTGTCAATTCATCGTATAATTAATAATTCGGTTTTCCTGATGGTGACAGCATGGCACCCCATTTATTCCTTTACAACATTCCATAGAAATAGAACTATAGTTAATTAATAAAGAATTGTTACCTCCCTTAATATGACAAGAGAAAGGGAAAATCCATTCAATGGATCTACACTATATCAAATGATAGAAAGATTTGGATTTGAATCAGACCGAAATATGTGTGTCACGCAATCACTACAAGTATCCGCGCATAAAGCTAGTACGTGGACAAATCTTAAACAAATTAAATGTATTATAACATTCATACACATCAAATATATTTACATATCTTACTTCAAAATCCCTATTCTATGAGACACATAATTGAACATAAAAATATGATTAACTGCAAAATACACCTGCGATTGTTGTCCGACTTAATATTCACCTGCTGTATTTTACAATTGGCATTAATATATACATGTATATATTAAGAATACCACTTAAATTCATTTTATTCATACAAACTTTATGACCTCAATGTGCTGTCGTTTGTCGGATTTTTAAGTTTCAAATGTACCCACGTAACGCAGTTTCGGACAAAAAGTGACCTCAAAGTGCTTGACGCGCTTTGGGATTGGTAACGCAATATTGGGCCGGATCCCCGGTGTTACAATGTCCCCGGTGCACAGTTTAGTTCTAATCGATCTTTGGATGATAAGTTGCCCTACCAATAAATTTTAGGGAAAGATGTGAGTTGTATGGAATATTAACCTAACGTTTAATGCTTGTAAACCCTCCGCTGTTGTATGCTTGAACCCTTACATTATCTGTTTCATTGTTATAGTTCAATTCGGATCCAATAAGACGAATTTGTGACTTGCTTTCTGCACCGGATATAAACAATTTTAGTTGTGAACCCAACTAGATTTTAGACGCAAAATACTTGGCTACAAACAACTCAGCTGTCATTTAGTCGCGTGATAAATAACTAAACGAAGTAAGCGGTAGGTGTTCAATTGAGAAACCAATAGACGCCATTTTTGGTGTATGTGGCCAGATATTTACTGTGAAAAAGTTCCTTATCTATTAGAAAAAACATACTTAGACATGTGGACCAACAATAAAATATCGCGTATATTATATAAATATTACAAATACATGAGTGATTAAACTACACTTTATTATTGTTAATATAAAGACAAAAATAATGAAAAATTATTCGGTTTCAATTTCCGATTTGGAAATAAGCAGCTGCTAAACACCATCATCTTTTTGAATAATTTTTAGTTCTGTTGCAATTTCTTGCGATAAAGGAATCACATAATTCAGTGTCTAATTTACTTATTTTTGAAATATATCTTTGTCACTGTATGAAATGTATGAATAGTTATTCTTTGAAACTGTTATAACGATTACGTTACAATGACCTTGAATAACCTTGATAGGAACAATATGTTAATCTATCATTGTTTCTTCATTTCTTTTTGTTTCAACAAAAGTCATAATCTTGGACAATGCAGTGTTATTCATTTCACATTCATACAATTTATCGTCTTTGTTAAAGGCCATGTCGATGAATTCAATATTCTTGTAAGCTGGCTTCAGTGGAACCTTCATTTTTGATGATATCGCTGGTAAGCACTTCTCTGTCACAAAATTAAGAAGGATAACTTTAAATGATTCATCCCCTGAAATAAATTTCAGTTAAATAAATTTTTGTCTACTTAAAGTTGCGGATAACCATGTCATGAAGTCTGAAAATTATAAACGTGAATAAGGTTAACTGTTGGTTATCGTATGTTTTTCATAGGTCATCACTATTTTATAAAGCCAATAATAATTAATATCAATGATTCTTTAACATTCGGACTGCAAATAAATAATCGAATTTTATATGATATTCACACAAATGAAGCAACAAAGAATGAACTGTGTCCATATTCAAAATAAAATACAATATTTAACTTACATTTAAACCCGTCAAGTGCACTGTCAACACTTGGTTCAAGTCTTGAAACAGACGGGCATACCAAGAGTAATGGTAGATGCTTCTGTAGTGAGGCTTGTTCTTCTACAATTTGAAACTTTATGACCGTTAATATCTGTGCAAGACATTCGCAAAACATCTTTGTTGAATCAGTTGAAACCTGATGCGGAGTGTACAGTTGAATAGTGTAGCTTATCTCGGCTAAAACAATTAAAGCTTATTAGAGTTGTTCAAGAATGGAGACTTTACATCGAATGGTCCCTATCGTTTGTATACATTATGTGTATAATTTCAAAAATTCAATCTATTTTAAAGAACACAATTTACAAACTTTTTTTTGGCGAATTTTGTAATGGTCTTTTATAATACTTTTAAATGTAAAAAATTCAAAATACAAATTGTAAAGCAATTTTTGCTATTAGTTTCAAAACAATGTAAGATGATATAATTTACCTGAAGGATTATCTTCTTTAAGCATTGTTTTCATAAGCTGAAGTAAATAAGAAAAAAAGAAAACAGTTCGCTACTAATAAATATGCAGTTGCTCAAAAAGTAAATAAAGCATATTGCAGACTTACCCATAATTTGCAGTTAACTAATAGTATATTTCTCGAAGAAATTTTGAAAAAATAGTTCAATCTTATGTTCACATTTTTACAGTGTGGTAATTAGTTGATCAAAACGTCACTTGTTCCTTTCACATGTTTTCGTTTTAAAAATCGAAGTGCTTTTTAGTAAAAATCAGTGTAAAATAAAAAAAAAATAAAAAAAAAAAAATCAAAACAGAAAAGGTTAATAAAGAGGAGAAGGTTTTTCTTCTTAATTACTTATTTGATTTACAAACGAGACGTTTTCATTATCTGTCCAGTAAAATTGCGTAACGCTGTACCTGATAAACTTATATAATAATGAAATATAAGTATAACCACTTAGATCTTCTAATTCATTTGAAATGTTTGTTATATTCAATAACATCATTTCTTGTTTGTTTTTCATTTTGCTATAAAACTTTGCGTGTGTGTGTTCATGACATACAAGGATTGATTAAACAGTTCTTGGCCCGATGTAGTTCCGGTAGTCAGGAACCCATGTAATGGTCTTACTTATCAATAAAATCGCCCTTTAAATCAATGCGTTATGCCCACCTGTAACCCTTCAAACTAGAACTCCCTATTTTGGTCCTCAAAGTACTCATTGACCGCCTCCATGACACCTTCATTGCTTCCAAAACGTCTACGACAAAGCTTGGTTTTCAGTTTCGAAAACAGGTAGAAGTCAGAGGGTGCCAAGTCCGAAGAATATGGGGGATGGGGAAGAATTTGAAAGCCGCAGTCAGCTGCAGCAGCCATCGCAACTTGGGATGTGTGAGTTAGCGCATTGTCGTACAGGAGCAGAACGCGTTGAGTCAATTTGCCTCTCCTTTTAAGTGCGATTTCTTGACGCAGACGTCTCAATGTCTACATATTATGTGCCATTTATGGTACGTTCATGCTCAAGATAGCCAATCATGATTATCGCCTGACTATCCAAAAAAATTGACGCCACCATTTTCCTTGCTGATTGGCGAGGATGCTCCCACTGCTTTCTGTTTTTTTTTTGTATTCTGGATCGCAGAGATGGACCTATGTTTCATCCTGAGTTACGATCCGGTAGATAAAATCAGATTCATCCTTGTAGAGAGACAAAATATATCTTGAAATATCAATCCTTGTCCGTTTCTGGTCGTCAGTCAACTGTTTAGGGACCCATGTAGCGGAAACCTTTGACATGCCATAGACATCAGTTAGGATTGCCTGAACTGAACCCAAGCTTTAACCCACTTCCCTAGCAATGCTTCGCAGGTCACGCCTTCTGGTCGTCAGTCAACTGTCTGGGGACCTATGTAGCGGAAACCTTTGACATGCCATAGACATCAGTCAGAATTGTCTGAACTGAACCAAAGCTTATACCTACTTCCCTAGAAATGTTTCGCATGTCTCGCCTTCTGTCGAACATGACCAGATCGTGCACAACTTCGGCAATTTTATAGCTGGTGACCTTTTTCGGCCGCCCGGGCCGCTCATTATCTCCCAGACCCTCTTAAATTCAGCATCCAATTTTTCACAGTGCTATAGGAAGGGAATCCTTCCCAAAGGTATCCATGAAGTCTTCCTGGATTTCTTTGGGGAAATCCCTTTCTTACAGAGGTACTAATTGACTGCTCTGAGTTCAACTTTCTCCATTTGATCTGAATGACACACCCCTCTACTGATCAAAGCGTGTTTTATGTTACTAAACTGTGTAAAATCGCATGTAACTCTGTCAGTAATCATCAATAAGATATCGGTATCAACGTATCGTTTGTAAATGTCATTGTAGTGGCTAGAAGAAATCGGGCCGAGAATTTTTTGATCATACCTCGTACATATTCATATGTTGCAAAAAAGTCATGCGATGAATTTAATTGAACCCGTAATGAACTTACATTGATGTTATCTATCAGCTTCTGTCTTGCATGTTCATTAACTTTTCCTTTTTTGTTAACAAGACTTGGTGTAGCATCACAACGAGCCTTTTTACTCTACAAGGGAAATAATATTGATCGACAAACGCTTACAAGGTCTAAAAATAACTGCATTTTTATATGATATTAATGGACATGGCCTAGAAGCAAATGCAAACGACAATTTTGAAATGTTTACCATTTTAAATAAGCGTCACAATTGTAACTGGAGTCAATTGATTTTAAAACTAGAGTAAAGAATCACTGCATCAATTGTTTATTAACATCTGAGAAATTTTCGGTTTTCATCTCAAGCAGGACTGAAAAGGCAAAGTTTTTTCCGCCGCAACATGACGTTATAGATAGCGCTTAAGGTGCACTTGGAAATATTAAAACGGAAGCCCCCTTTCCTTTTTTTCAAATTGCATTTACAAGAAGTCACTATTTACTGTACTGTATATATGAAGCATTATTTAAGTTTAAAAATATATCATTAAACTTATTCTAGTAAAAGGAATGTCTCAGACACTTTTCTAATGAATGGTCAGTGGTGAGGAAAATTTAAATTTAACTTCTGTTACAAATCATTAATATTTTCCACGTAAAATCAACACATATACTACCAGTTTTGATGTTGTTAGCTCGTCTGTTAAGAAGGAAGTGTCGTGCTGATATGGTTGCTGCGACCACCTTCGTGCATTTACTTTAACGTAGCCCATAATTCAAATATTTTAAAAGGTACATGAAACTCTTCATATTTGCTTATCATCACAAGGTACAATTGTATGGTAAGAGGCATTACAAAATATAGTTTTAAGTAGAATAAATATAAACCTGTAAATATGTATCATTATGGAACTTGGACTACTTATTTATCAGAACAAAGTACAGTTGTTAGAAAAGGAGCATAATTCTGAAAACACTGAAAACGTATAAGTGAAAATGAAATACACCAGACGATCGTTTAATATATCCATACACAGAATACATGCAGATCATATTTCAGGCAAATTTTGCTTGATGGTATCATTGTAGCTCTTTTCTTTTACGTTAAACTTGTGACAAGATTTTGATTTTAATTACGCAATAAAATTGTGTCGCAAATTTCTCTGAGCATGTCGGAGAAACGTGAAAGTGCTATATTTAAAAAGTATTTACCATTGATATTGCCAAATATTTGCTAGAGTCATTTTCATTTTCAGAATCAAATATTTTTAGTATACTATTATGCTTATTATTCAAACATTGAAAGACAAAACGAAAAACTAGCCCAATTTAGCGGTCACCCAATATTTCCGTAAGCACATCACATGTAATTCCCCAATACTTGAATTAATCTCAATGTCCATATGACAAATTTTTCAAATACAAAACCTGTACCGTGAAGTTTACATGAAGACATACATTTATACGTGTCTCTGCTTCTTTGAAGGTAATTAACGTAAAATACCCCTTTCCCAATCCGAATATGAAGAATTACCCTCGAATTTTATGATTTAGACCTCATATATTAGGTAATTGGAATTAACTGCGAAACTACCTGCTCATTTCTCCCTTCAACAATATTCAGCATTTCATCAAGTATGTTCAGGATACCCTGTTCCTGCAAATATATAAAACAATTTTTGTAACATTTTAAAGTAAATATGTTTATGTAAATAAATGTCCCTGTCAGTGAACTTAACTATAAATTGGGTAGGTACTTTATACAATCACCTTAAATAATAAGGGTTCTCGATAATAAAAAGGAAGTTCATTCATTTTTTTTTAAAATAATATACTAAATCTTACATGTTCTTGCTCTTCCATAATGCTATTCTGTCTGAAAATAAATGTTTAATATAGTTAAATAACAATATAACACATATATATTGAAAGAATTTTGTTGATTGTTTATTTTGTATACTGTGCGTCTGTCATTCTGAGAGAATAAATGAAAATATTTCTTCAAAATGTGACAGATCAAAAAGATATGGGTATTTGCAAAATAACACTTTAAAATGAAACTTGCAAATTGACAATGTGTGTAAAACACTCAATGGAAAATTGCATTATTGGCAACATATCATATTTTCTACGCTTCAATACGTAATAATATTTTACGAATTTACGATATATATTGCTCATTGTATATTATTTCTATGTGATAATGGGTAAGGAAAAGACAAACTACATAAATAATATATTCAAATTACAAAATAAGAATTTCTAAAATCATTTTTTACAGCAACCACAGATATCTTTGTCTATTGAGCTATTTGATACTCTTAATTGGTTACCATTCATTGTCAGATTAAAATATTCAAATTATATGACAGCAAGTGATATGATGGAATTGATGACTTTATCAGACAGTAAAATATACAATCTATATATCAAACTTACGAAATGATATTGTATAGAGACCTTAAATATTATATTAAAAGCACATATTGTTATCATAGCAATTGGAAAGTGTACCTTAAAATATGCGCAATGTTGACACTTTTATTAAAATATCCTTATCTTAAAATGATTAAATAAATGAATGAATGAATGAATGAATATTATAAATCTATGTTTACCAAAATATCAAGAAGTTAAGGAAGAAGTTAATATCTAATGGCGAAATATATATATATATATATATATATATATAGATATATATAAGAAAACCATAGATACTTTTGTTACGTCTTTTTGTAACAATCAATTTTTGGAATAACTGTTTAATTAAAGCCACATTAAATAAAATATGTAAACATATTTGTTCGTCGGTTTAAAACCAAGCATTCTATAGTTTCAATAACATTTTTAACAGTATTGTTGTAAATCTCATTGAAAATGTTCATAAATTATGATTTTAAAAGGTAAACCCCACGGTGACACTAAAGTTAGTATACAAATTGTGATAAAGAACTACTTCACAATGGTAAAATCAATTGTAACCATGTGGATTACATCAGATAGGAGACATTCTTGTGCAAACAAACTTTAACCGTTTTAGTCTTATGGTGCATTACCCCTGTCGTTTACAAAAAAGTAATCATCTCATAAAAGACTGAATTTATATGAAAACAACCGTAATATAATGCGGAAATATACCGTTAAATTCGGACTGCTACTTAAAAAATGTTTGCTAATTTTCTATTGATGTACGGATGACCCAAAGGCTGAGTTTCACGTGCAAATAGAAATTGAACTTCCGATTTCGCCACAATGAAGTTGTAGATTTATGGATAATAAAACTAATTATGGTTGTCTGGACACAAAAAAGAAATGAACGGGAGTCCATATGAAACATGTTTAATTAACGAAATGTAGCTATTTCATTTTTTTCATGAAATTTATTTTATGTAGCTTAACTAATAATAACAATTTCTGGATTTAATAACAAATCATACGTGAACATCTGAAAAACAGTATAAATTTGTTAACACTAGTTAAGATATATTCGTTCTAAAGACCGAATCAAACTCATTGTAAATTTGTTTTGAAAAGATTCAGAAAAACTCGTAATACGAGATGTTAACAGGTTACAAAGATATGGCTCGCAATTTCCGGCTTTCCACCATGAGATAATTATCTCTTTCACCCTTTTTTATGAAGTTTTAAATAATATTGTTAATATGTACTTAAATTAAATGATTTTGATTTGTTTACTTCTTACTGCATATGTCAAAAAGGTACAGAATACAAAAGGTGAAACCATGACTGCATTTTGCTATTTTTATGAAGATTTTTTTATTGTTTGTTAATGTAGTTTGTCATTTGTTCATTACTTTTTTACTTTCATTTGATAATTTCTGTAAACTCCTTCTAGAATCACACTCAACTTAATTGACCTCAACTGGATTATCATTCAATATTCGATCAAAAGGTGGTACTTGGATAATAAATTAATTTTTATTGTATTTTTACAGATAAGATTCAGTAAATAACACTTAAAACACTATTAACCTTAATTTAGTTTGTAATGACCGGATGTCAATGTCATAAATTAACAGTTGACAAGATTTTAAAAAAATGTGTCAGAAGATATTTCATAGTTTAAATCTCTACGTTTTATGAACTTTAATTTAAGAAAAAATTGGGATGAGAGCGACAATCTCGAGGGATTTAATTAGTTATCTGCCATTTTACTTCATTTCAAGGGCAAATAACTGTAAGATAAGTTTGAATCTTTTGGGTTACTTTATCCTTTTTTCTTGGTCCAAATAAAAGATTTCATAGTCTGGAATTCTACTTATTAACTATAAAGTTATGTCTGTTAGGGAACATGGCAACGTTTGTAAGAATATACAAATGTTTTGTACCATTCGCTGAATTTTTGCTGAATTTTTGCACAATTATCCTGAGGTCAGTTATATATTAAATCATTGGAATAGCTTAGCTTATTTGCGAGTTACTTCCTCTAGAAATCATTTCTATGAGACAATTTCATTTTGAGTATATTTCAGCATGACAAATGAAGCGGACGCTTTAAACACTGTTATCTATAAGGCTTAGTGTCAATTTTTAACAGGTGGTCTTGTTGATACTTTTAATAGATTATTTTAGTGCTGTTATGTTTTTAAAAATATATTCATAAAAAATAAATATAGTGGCTATCTTGGATTTTTGAGGCTATATTGGATTTGCACAACACTGATCCAAGGCTTAAATGACAAGAATTTTATCTATCAACATCTGATCCAAGTTTCATGCTTTTCAAAGAGATACACAAATCATTCGCCCTATTTTATGCACATATTTCTCGGACTAGCGGAAAGGACCTTTAATCAGTACGCTGGGATATTATAGGCTCGTCGGGGAAGGTCGTCCAAAATAGCTAATAAAGATTATGTGTGCGGAAAACATACGAATTGTTTTTGTTTGTCTTTATTTGCCAAATTTCTTTAAGAAAGACAAGAATATCTTATCGCATTTTGTCTAATATGAGTCGATATCCTTTAAAACAGTTTTGAAGCAAACAGTCGTCGTCTGCTTGACATTATTTTACGAAAGAGACCTAATATCTTCGGAGATATAAAATCTGTAAACTAGAATAAACGGACCAACATGGTGTCTATGTCTCATCACGTTTTACACGTAGTAATTACAAATCATAATTTACAATATTTTGCTATATAACGCTTGTATATTATATATATGTATATGTTAGCGCACATTGAATATTTTACTGTTATTTCATATAAATACATATAAATGGGCCTAGATCCTATAAAAAATAAGAAATTCTAAAGTCGAATAAAAGAGCACGTCTTGATTTATTTTGAGATAAAATATGTATTTTGATACCATAATACATGCACGAAGAGACATTTCAAACTAGTATGTAACAGGTAATTTCATATTTTTCTAATATACGGCCGTTTTATCCGTAAAATACGAAACGAGTAAAACATTTCTGCAATATTTTATGTTTAACGATTTCCAATTGTCAGTCATATGCGGAATTAAACAATATATAACCGTATTTTATGTTTCCAGTATTATACCCGTATATTTTTGTCATACGAAATCCCGTATACTCCCATATATCTATTTCTGGTCTCAACCCGGTACGGAATTAGACCCAACCCGTTGTTGTCTAGAAAGAAGTTCTTTAAAATTTTTAAGTGGCCCAATTTAAGTCATCTCTTGTTTGATTGGTCATAATCAAAGTGTATTTATTACATGTGTGTAGTTTTTGTGTGTTATATAATGACTTTCAAAGTTTTTTTGTGTATTCTCCAGGAACTCATTTGTTGGCGGAAGGATTAAAGATGCATTACCCACCAGCAGTCAGGAGTTTTTAAAGTTGTGAATTTAAACAGTGTTACAACAGAATGAAGATTTCGGAAAAAAGTAGATGGCTTACCTATTATATTTTAGGTCTCATTGGACTAAGATAGTGTTAATGTTTAAAGTTGAAGACAGTATATAATTCACCAAGAACAGTGAAATCCAGAATTAAGCCTCAAATGTGACTGATTTACTATAGAACAAAGAATACGAAAATTCACCGGGCCGAGTCCTTCTGCATAGGTTCTCGATACTTTGAAACTAACGCCCTAATGGCCCAGTGGTAAGTATGCTAGCATAGCAATCGCAAAGTGTTTAGTCTGAATCCCCAACATTTTTTCATTAGTGGATGAATCATTGGTGTCTTTTCAATAAAACGTTTTTGATATATAGATGTCTTAGTAAATTTTTATTTTTTCTGTTCACGCAGTCGAACACAGGATGATTAAAGGGAGACAAAGGTAAACTTTTCATTTCTTTGATTTGAATGTTTCTTTCAATATTCTATAAATGAATACACTAAGCAGTAACAGGAAAAAACTTATCTGATTTTGAAGAATGAAACGGTGGTTTCCTGACTGACCGACGATTTTAAGATTTCACATTATTTGTCACTTTGAACTCTGGAAACGTTTAAGTACCTATTAAATGAATGACTAAGACTTATTTCAATCTAACATATATCCACAATATCTGTCATTGTAATTTCCAGAGGTTTTTTTTATCGTTACATGACTTGTTTTAAAACTACTCGGTGACAATGTCAGCGTATTAATTTCGTTCAAAATATAAAGAAATAAATTACGCTTCAAGACCAACTTATATAGTTTTTATGCAGAAATTCCTGCTAGGATTTTTAAAAATGTCATTTTAGCATGATTTGAGTAAATTAGATCAATTTAATATGTTTGTCATTCATTTGCCTTAGTATCCCTTTAAGAAACATAAAGCTGATTTGTGCCATTCGTGTTTTCGCCCCGCGACCCCGCCAAGCAAAAAGTAGAAAATTAACAAGTTACAACGGCGGGGTCGCGGGACGAAAACACGGTAATTATTGAGGGCGCGGGACTAAGTTTAATAAATAAATCTTTGCACCGCGGGGGTGCGGGGCGGGATTAAAGAAATAAACCGGGGGCGCGGAGCGAAAACACGCTTATTAGAGTGGGCGCGCGGCGAATTTTTATTTAAATAAACTCCGTCCTGAGCCCCGCTTATAAGCTTGTTTTCGTCCCACACCCCGCCGTTTTATTTCTTAAATCTCCCTCCCCCAGCGCCCTCGCTAATTTGCTTGTTTTCGCTCCGCGCCCCCTCCATTTTAAGTTGTTAATTGTCGACTTTTAGCTTGGCGTGGTCGCAGAACGAAAACACGCTTTAGCGTGTATTCGTCCCGCGACCCCGCCGTTTTATTTCTTAAATCTTGCTCCGCGCACCCGCGGGATGAAGTAATGTTTATTTAACTTCGCCCCGCGCCCTCGCTAATTTGCGTGTTTTCGCTCCGCGCCCCGCCATTTTTCAGTTGATATTAACGACTTTTCGCTTGGCGGGGTCGCGGGACGAAAACACGCTAATTAGCGGGGGCGCGCGGTGCGAAGTTTTATTTATTAAACTACGCACCGCGCCCTTGCTAACTAGCGTGTTTTCGCTCCGCGCTCCGGCCAATTTAACTTTTTAATTTTCGACTTTTCGCTTGGCGGGGTCTCGGGATAAAAAACACGAATGGTACAAATCAGCCACACTAGATAATAGTACAATATACGCAAATTGAGCGTGTGAACTCTAGTAGGAATACTTAAGATTGCTTAAAGCAAAGTCCTTTGTAAGATCCACTTTGAATATATCGATTGCTTGTTATTCTTCACATCATTTTGTTTGATAAGCACAAACTTGTTTCTGTGCTTAGGTAAAAATATAGTTACTTATTCCCTTTTTATATTGATTTATAACTGGTTAAAACTGGTTAAAACTAGTTACTAGTATATCTGCGAAGTCATGCACGCGTTTGACTTTTGTTAACATTTAGTACATGTTAACGACACTTTAGTCAAAAATCCTAGCGATAATAAATCAGACTAAAGTACGTCCATGAGTGTAGTTCAGGGTTTTGGTAACATGAATTATCATGTGTAAATGTGATATGGGACAATAAAAGATAATTGTTTTGTCTTCTTCCAACAACAAAGTTTGAACATTGCCATATGACCTTTACTGTTACGGTATAACAGAAACCCCAATCAAACAAAACAGAAATTAAACGTGAGAACTAGAATCGGGGCAGATCCTGTTTCCCATATTCAAAAGCGCACCGCATTTGAATACGGCAAAGCTGAACTTGTTTTTTCATTGGGTTGTACGTCACACCGGCACAGTATAGGCCATATGGCAACGTTCCAGCTTAAATGGTGGAAAAAGCCTTCGGTTTTCCTTCCGTTAATCATTTCAAGCACGAATGGGCACCTGAGTAGAACCAACGACGTTCTGTAAACTACCTTGATAGCTTCTCACATGAAAAAATCTAATGTCGCTGTCGGGACGCGAACCCACAGCGGTAAGGGGCAACTGGTTTGACGACAACGACCTTAACAACTTGACCACGGAGACCCTACGGCAAAGCTGATGCCACGTTTGAATATGTCGAAATAATTTGTAACTTGTGTAAAAGGATGATAGTTGGTTTTGATGTTTATTTTATATAATTATTTTGTTGTTTGTACTGCATTTGAAGTTAAAAATTGACCAATATTGTGGAGAATAATATGTATTTCGTCGATCGACAAAATGATCACATGAATATATTGAAAATCGAAAAATATGCAATGTGATTAGTGGATGAGCTAGCGTTTTTACCATTGAACACTTTTATCTTGTGTATTTTATAACAGTTGAAGTCTATTTTTTTCTTTTCAAAACACTTTATATTAAGTTTCTTGACATATATTAAAAATATATGTGCTGGAATTGAGAAATATACCTTTACTTAGAATCTTAAGGCGTTTGGAACACCACACAAAAATGTCTGTGATTTGATACGTGAAAAACGTGATCCTTCAAGACATTAACACTGTCATGTATTAAACAAAACACCTTGCTTTTATCATTTTGAATTCATACTTAGTACAATTTTTTCCTTGTACTTGCACCAATATACGTATTGTCTTCTAACTTATATTAACTTAACAATTCCCTGCAATTACAAGTTGATCTTGAATTTCATATTTTAGTTTAAACATTTTTCCGTTTGCGCATAGATTAATAACTCAGAACGTATCAAAACCGAAAATCTAAAATCAATGTTTTTTATACTTACGTGTCGTACCCAGTTATTGAGTACGAATCAGTTAACCTGTATAAGAAACACAAACATTTAATTATGGTGTTAACTTCAAAATAAAACAAAACAAAAACTATAACTTATCCACTTACTTCTAAAGCCTCTTTAGTACCTTCGACAGTTTTAACGAAAACTTTACCCTGTGTCAATCGTGTGTCCTAACGTTTCTTTTACATATTATCTCCCCATTTATTGACATGAATAACACTTTTTTCTATTCTATTTAAAGTAGAAGATATTATTCCAATCAATGTTTAATACGTGTACTCTATCATGATTTACCTAATATGGAAATAAACATAACCAATCAAATCGCTGCATTTGTATAATAGAGCCCCAACGGTTATTAAAACAAATTCGGATCGTTACATTCTTGTGCGCACTCGGCATACTTGGATAAAAAGTATGGGTTCAGGAGATTCTAAACCGCTTAAACCAGGTAAGCATCATATGCAATTTAATTGTCATAAATAGGAAAGAAACTGTACATTTCAGTGACTAATGTACATTAAAAAATGTGTTTTTTTACACAGCTTGAATTGAAAAAAAAATGGCTGAAAATAAGCTTCATACATTTTTATAACGTATAACTAAACTTTCTAAAGGTACTCAACTGTTTTTTTATATGATGGGGACTGAAAACAATTGTTGGCGATAATTTTTTTATCTTCTCCAGGAAAAGAAGTGACTTATTATGCAAAATATTTAGTTTAACAAGTCCATTCACGTATGATAATCTTTGATTAATGTAAACTTTTCAAATCGTTTCATTTGCCTTTCGCCAATTTGCTATTTTTCGGATTTCCATCTTCTCAGAGAATGTAAAAGTATATATTTACTGCTGGTTGTTTTCAAAATAAATGGTTGAATTTGTAAAAAATCATACTACAAGTACAAAGTATATGTATGAACAAATTTCATGGATAATGAACCGGCCATGTATGATTATATTTAATGATAAAGATCTATCAGAGAGAAAACATTATTGGAACAACCCAAAGATGTGAAATTTAGCCTTGCAATAAATCAATTGATACGACACAGTCCAACTTATTTGCATAGTTTTAGCATTTTTAAGTCTGTTACATGTTAATATTAATTGTGGTGAAGGTGCAAACATGCAGCATTGATGTATTTTTACATTTTTGTATAATATAAGGAAGTGGTTAGCCGTTCGTGCCCGTACTGATAGCCAAAAGTTCTAGCCGTATGGAGTCACGTACGTGTAGCCAATACGCACTGCTCAGACTAGCTTTACGGTATCTATTAATAATAATTAAATGCAATGATGGAATCAGTAACAGTTTACTTGCACGTCTGATTACATTTTCACACATATATTGTTTTTTTTCCTAAATAATTTTACGTATGATTTTCGGCCACTTTTCGTGGGCTGATGGAACTTGTGTGTTATTTAAAATTGATAATTATTAAAAATACTGTCTCATAATCTAACTACCGCTGGAAATCGAGTCAATGGCTTTGTAATTGATCCAATAGCGTTCATATGCAATCGTGAAAAACAACTGCGCTCCCTCATTGAATGGTGCGCAAACAACCAGCTTGAATTTTTCAATGCCCTCTAAAAGTGTTCGATATGAATTTTTTATTACAAATGTTTTACATTTATATTTTCTATAGGCATGATTAAATAATGTTACAGTTTATTTCACACGGACTTGAATAAATTATTAAAGTCCATGATTTTCAGAAGAAAAATGTAACTATGGTTATTTTAATAAAATAAATACAACCAAAGTATTTCTAGGTTATTCTTTTATTTAAAATTGTATATGTGTCATTGTTCACTTCAAATACAGTCTATCATAAAAGTACACAGCAGTATACAGCATTAGAGTAGAATAAGTCAGTGACCTGCAAATACATAATAAAATCAAATGACAAATAATACAAAAAATCTACTGTGTAAAGCCTGAAAACTATCATGTACATAATATTACAACAACAATGTTACAAATTCATAATCAAGAAGTAGATCTAGTAATATAAAAACAATTTATAACGAAATACTCTGGTGTGCCTTGTGGTCCATTTATCATTCATCAATTAATATAATCAACATTATCCACATATTTCTATATTCTATTTTGAACATAAAATACTCAATTTATACAAAAATGTATTTATATCATACATACAATACACAAATACATTGTTTATAAACTTACCAAGTTATGGACCTGCTCACATAAACAACAATCTCTCCCGTGAACTGCACAAGTGTAAACCCTTCAACTGTTTAACTGCAATCAAAATAAGAATCATGTGCACAGGTTTAAGGAATGTGACATTGTTAAGATGTTATGTCATTATCAATAATTGTAAATTCTGCCAATTTGAAGTATATGTATAATCGCTTTATGTCAATAAAATACATGATAATATCATTTTCAGTGATTTTTAAAAAAAATAATATTTGATAAGCAGACTATAAATTACATAAAAAATATAGAGTTAAAAATATCACTTTACCAGTTTTCATAAAATATGTAGTGCATTCAATTTGCGTGATGAACGATGTTTTTTTGCCGACACAAACAGTATACCCGTACATACAAAATAATTGTAATGTTTATGCTTTAACATTTTTAAGGAGATAACAGAGATTTATATTATTTTTTTTCTTTGTTTCAAATATGCTTAAATCAAAATAATATTTTTTTTTCAACCAGTATCTTGCAATTAGTTATTACGCAGTCGTTTTTCGAAACTACAAAATACTTAAATTTTTGAAACTCAAAATAGCTCTTGGATACTTATATTAGCAAGTTAGTACGATTTAACTACCTACTAAAACACGCTGCGACAATTTTCATTTTTCCATCAAACGAAATGGTAACCATGATCAGTTACCCGGTCATGATCTAGTATTGAAACAAATCGTTAACCTTATTATTGTAAACATTTTTATTCTTTTGACCATCTTTTTATGTAATACATGTATCTCATTCAATTACACAAAATGTTAGCAATTTCAATCCGCCCATCTTACAAGAGTAAGGATTAAAATCTTTATATCCCTTTATTTATGTCATTTATTGTATCGGTAATGTCCATCGTATCCCCCAATGACGTCATCCAAGGGCGACAACTTGAATCCGGGGTCTATAAGTATATACATTACCAAGGGAGATTACAATGTATGAAATTATTAACATGTTTCCTCCAAAGATATGTATTTACTTCCCTTTATTTTTCAACGTCTATTACTTTTTAATGGCTTTTTTTTATCAAATCTTATATTTTTTAGATTTTTTTCGTGTTAAGGTTATAATAATTAAATAATTTTTATAGGGTTATATGATTTAAATATTTTGCATTGATACAATCTTATACATAGAAACTGATGTTACTTGAGATATGTAAATGTATTAAATAACAATAAGTTGTAAAATGAGAATTATAAAATGCTAATATTTAAGGTAATTTAAAAGTGTGGACATGAATATTGTTCGACTATATTGTTGGAAGTCTCTCTCTAATTGAAAGACTGATATATGTTCATGAAAAGAAATACCAATATAATAAGTTTAGCAAACTGCATTTTTGAAAACATATTTTCATATGCACAAAAATAAATTTATGTTAAACTTAGATAGTTTGCACGAAGCATCCCTTGTTTACATCTACAAAATTTATAAATCATGCTCCTGTGGTCAATATTTGTCCTGCCTAGGGATCACATAGATAGAAAATAAACTTATAGTCATATATTTATCGCATGGCTTTGAGCTTTTTTTATGTTCTTTCTAATCCATTATACTCGGTTCACTTCCATTTAGGACTGAAAACTGTATTGATATATAACAGTACAGTTTTTTCACTTGATTCATTTTTGAATTTCTTTCCACCTGCTATATTTCGGTTGCGGTTTTTAGGGAGGTTCCAAGAGGTCTAAAAATACAAACAAAAGAAATAAAAGTTAATTTTCTGTACTATATCCAAGACCTACTGCATAAAATAAAGAATGCAATTCATTTCTATGTTCTCTGAACTTGGTGCACTCATGCAATTGGTGATATAAATTATATCTCACTCCGCAAAAGGCACAATTAGGACTTTTTTGTAAACCTTTTACCTCATATATACGCGAAACAACGCACTTTCGATCCCTCCCCTTTGAGGCCTTAAATAGTGAAAAAATGTCCTATTTAGGCCCAACACACTTGTTTTCTTTTGAGAAATGTTGTTTAAAAAAGTGATCACTTTTTTTCGGCGCCGCCCCTTATCAGAAAGATACATCGGGGTGGGGGGAATGGGGGATGAGCCCCCTTCTGCTAGGGCAACAGCATCACATATCGCCAAGAATATTTTGGACTCGTTAGAGGCTAAATTTGGCCTCAGGTCAATCAGAAGGTAACGTGTAACCTACCCTGAAAAGCTTTTGACACTATCTCAATTCACTGAGAAGCACCTTGAAATCAGTTTGGATGGAAAAAGCAAGGCAAAATAGTGAGTTTTTGCAATTTTGAGATGTCCCCTCTTTGCCATGGTAACAGAAAATTTAAGATTGAGCATGTCGTTACAAAGGCTATTAACCAGTCAATATTTGTGCCAAGTTTGATGAATATTAAAAATATTTTTTATAGTTTCACGGAAATTTGAACTTGTAACAGAAGGCTTTTCAATGAAAACAGACATTTTTCACCAAAGGCTCACGCAGTAATCGGTAAATGTAAAAAAAAAACAAGAAAATGCCGCAAAACAAATTTTTTCCTCAAAAGTATGTGTAAGGCCATTATCTAACATGGCAAAAATTCGATTTTGGTAAATTCCAAGACTTTTTATCATTTTGTATTGTCACATATCCCTGGGTAATAAAGATTTGTCCAAACTCAGTATTGTCATTTAATATGCTTATGGTGACCCTGGCTAGAATTTAAATCAGCCTGCCATAGATTAACAATATAGCTTTTAATAATTGAGTAAAACTCCGTGGGGGAGAGTGAGATTAATTCAGTTACACATCTGAGGTTTAAGTCCATTTTGGCCGCCATGTCTGCTTGTTACTGTACGTGCTGGACACCAAGCTTTATTGTATAAAATTTAAACTATTATTTCATTAAAAATCTGGTCTCGACTGACTTTTGTTGGATGTCAGAGAGATAAGTGCGGCGAGTGAATCAGAGAATATGACAGCTTTATAAATAATCCAATAATTCATTAATTCAGCACATAGCATTTTTAATACCAAGAAGCTCGGCGGTATAGATGGATGTATGGTTAGTTAACCCATAAGTCTGTCCATATATATTTACCTAAAGGCACATTGTGCATAAGAAAAAAGTCCTTTGAGGAAGAAAACAAAAAAAAACATTTATGTAGCATAATGGGCCTTAAAAACCTGGATACGTTATGGGGGATAATTACTTCCCCTTGATTGATATAAATTGTTTCATACATGCTTAAGACTGCTTT